GATCCTCCTTAGCATCTTGCTTGTCTTGTCCTATCACTGTTAGAAAAAAACAATGTCATTTTGAGCATTGACCATTTCAAGTAACATTAAACTTAGACATCTGGACAGACAGACAGAAAACATAGCTAATTGCCAAGTGCTTTGGTAATTATGATAATACTAATAACTGACAGTGAGGAACAGAGTAACTTACTGTATGCAGAAGCTGAGGATGGTGAAGGTGATGCATTTTCAGGGGGTGAGGGCGATGTCTCTGTTTCCATAGCAACAGGTGAGTCTGGTCTTTTATCAGTCTGTTCCCTGCTTAAGTCAAATGGGTGTAATTGATATCAATACTAAGATGGGCAGACAAAAATTATGGGAAAATTAAAAATAATTAATACCATAATAGGTAGTGAACATTTTCAAGTTTCTGATATCAGATGGAAAATTATTTATGATGATAAAACAATGAGAAGTCAATATAATACTAAAGAAATGAATCATATTTTTTAAGCCTATATATTTTTTCTATTAAAATAAAGGAAAGTACAAAAAACGTCTCATTTCTTTTTTTGAAACCCAAAATAATTTGCTACATAATCTAATAAATCTCAAGAATTTTAAAACATGAACTCAGGATATGAAGTCAGATATGTTTTTTAAGTCCAAACTGYACATTTTTTATTGTCAAATAGGTTTGTTGGGCACTTACGCTGAAGCTGCTGCCATSCCGATATCAGTGAAATTATCAAAATTAGCCCATCCAGTGTCTGGTGGATTACTTTCTGGAGTTCTATCCCAACCTACATCAGATGCATCCATGGATACTGTTTCGTCCATAGCAACCTCAGTGGACTCAAATTCATTCCATGCTTGAGAAGAAGTTTAGTWAAAACTCATTGATATTCATAAGGCAAAACACAATAGAAATCATAACCCATGAAGAGAGTTGTAAATCCACATACAGATCGCCGCTCATATTGTATATGTTACATATTAATTCAAGATTGAATGCAAAATCTCAACTAAAAACCCAAGAAAATTAGTAAAAAAAAATTAGATTTGAAGCACTAGTGGTGTATAGAATGATGGTTACTTGTTTTAATTCCCCTCCCCCTCATCCCCCCCCCTCTCTTTAACTCTCCTCCTCCCCCCCCCCCTTTGTCTTCAAAGCACAACAAAAGTGTTCAAATGATCATATTGATACTAGTCCTATTAAGAACATTCAAAGTCTAATTACCATTTCCAGTATCGATRTCCATTTTATTGGAGGTATTTTCCAAAGGTTGATTCTTCTTGACTGGTGAATTTGCAGGACTGCTTGATGTGTCATCTGTGAACACTATCCTGTCGTCATCACTACCACTACTGCCAGTACTTTGTCGAAGTGGTGACCCTTGTTCATCTTCGTCACTATCGGAGCTGTCACTATCACTGTCTGACAAGGTGCTGAGAGGATGATAATTAATTTAATAAGTAATTAATAGATAACAGGAAATCTAATGAAGGGTTGTTACAGAGTGATTTGCCCATAGGGAAGGGCAGTATCATGTCATGTYAACAAGGTAAATTTTCAGCAGTAAAGGACACCACTTACCTTTTTCTATTTTCAACTACTGATGAAAATGTTAATTCTTTTTCCTCCCAAACATCCTAAAATTGCAATAATGAGCATCTTAGTAACAAGCAATAGTTGTTTTCTTGCTATGACTTGCTTTCCGTTCCACATATTTTATAAAACATGGAGAGTATTTATTCACCATCACTGCAGCTATCAATGAGCTCACCTCTTCATCACTGCCACTGTCATCAAAYTGTTGTATTCTTTCATTACAGCAGGCATCAAACAAAGCTGAGTTGGGCTATTGTGGAGAGACATAATAAAAAAGATTGTACAATAGTCTCTTTTATAGTTCCCAGTACCATTTGGAGAGATAGCTGTGCCTTTGCATTGTAGCAAAACATATCTTGAGTGTGCAAATGATAGAAACCTTCTYTCACATCTGCACACCATATTATTCATAAGAATCTATAATTTTATTGCAAGCTTAAAAGTTGTTTTGCTACAATTTATAGAATTCATAGAATTCAAGACACAGCTACCATTCAAAATTGTAGAGGGAACTGTGTATAATACTACAGACGACAAATACACTAGATTYACAATACATGTATAATAATAATTGAGCGGATTTCGTATGAGTGGGAAACGGACGGTACTGTACTGTGACCGTAATCATACTGTAACCAAATTCTAGTGTCTCATTGGTTCACCATGATTGTGCAGGCCAGGTCCGGTAACTGTGCGGTAACCGTGTGGTAACTGTGTCCAACTCATACGAAATCCACTCTATAGTACAGTAGCAGTTCATAGCAATAAATAACATCAAACTTTTCAACTTACATTGTCTTCATTTGCACTGATATTAAAACCAATATCGCCAATCCTGTCAAACTGAGATCTATAAAAAAAGGGAAATTACTTCCATAAATAGAATTCAGCCAGGGAATCCAAAAGCAATTAATACAACTTGATTATTTTCTAGTCTTGTAAGCTCCAAGTTCTGTGACAGACAGATATATAATTTCTGCCACATTCAAATTCAGATTTCGCACAAGATTTGACCACACTGAAGCTCTTGAGCGTTGACAAATCCTAAACTTTCATTACAATTACGAAGACTTTCATTGATACAAGACCATGTTGTATATCTCTCCATGATAAATATAGATCTCTACTTACGTGATACCATCGTTGGGTTCCTGGAATTCATCTCCATCCAAACCAAAAGTATCCATAAAGTCTGCTGTCATTTGCTGCATTTGATAGTTTGAGAAGACCTAATTTAATCAGAAAACAGTCCTTGTAGACAGTACTTTAACGACAGGGATCCCAGTGCTGCTTTTATAATATATGAATGCAGTAAATGTATGTGATGTGACATGTGGAAAAGGTGGGCAATGAATAGGGTGCAAGGCTCAAAATAACATCTGGACCTACATGTACGCAGTATATGTTGTTCCAAACAATAGACCTCTGCAGCTTTTACGTCATGTACCGTATACGCAATGCATTGTAGGACAAAATGTTTGGGACAAAACATGGCGGATTTCTTTTGCTTTCTCTTGAAACTGATCCCACAATGCATTGAAAATCAAGTAGTGACGTAAAAGGTTCAGAAGTCTATTCTTTTTTGGAAGTTCATAATTAATTTTTAAAGAAAGGGCTGGTAAATATGCCTTTTCAAATTCTGATTTGCAAAGACATTTAGCAAATTTGGAAAGACATTGTCCATTGATCTCCCCTTATTTCGAGCCCTGGGGTGCACTAACTGTTGTTGTTTGAAACTCCTTTATTACAAAAAGGACCAGAACTAAATACACACAAGCTCAGAAGCATGATCACACGAGGTGGTGGGCCTCAAAACGAGGCACCCAAAAACCAAAACGAGGCTAAACTAAAATAAACTGTTTAACATTAACAATGTAAATTTTTAACACTAACCCTTCCCTTCTACCCTTTATACACTTACATGTTGTAATGAAGTTTCACTTGGTAGGAAAGGTACTGGTTTGTAACCACCATCATCGTCATCATCTGATGATGACTGTAATGGATGATGTCCAACCTTGTAACAAAAAATTATATTTCAGTCTATATTATTTTGTTTATCATTCATGACTATTTTCTGAACCGTAGATCAGSTCTGGCAGTAACCAAAACAGCTCAAGCACTAGATCCTATGGATAAACTTTGATTTGTCTGGTATCTATGTAAATAGTCTCCTTTGCTGTTCACTGCACCATCTTGAAAGGTAGTCATTTGTTTGCATCAAAGGGAGATGGCCGTTGAGTGTGCAATGATAGATACATGCAAATAATTGTCTATAGGTGTGAAAGAGGGTTTCTAGATGTAAAKGGAACCGTGAAGGACACTATTTCATCTTATTTTGCAAGAAAGCAGGTGTTGTTGTTGTTGTTCACAGACTTACCAGTTCTGTTGTATTTGTTTTGTTGATCTCCGCAAGAGTACCAGACACAAATGAATTCCATTTTTCTCTGTCTTTCTCTGGTATTTCTATRAGAWATCATTCAAAACATTAATAATATTGCTACGGACCATAAATCACTCAATTTACTAACAAATGTTCTGTTGAATTCAAGGCAATTTGCTTACTGCTGATATGACACATCAACTTGTGCATGTCAAAAATCGCACATTATAATGTACATCGATCAAGTTCACTCAATTCTCTTCACAAACAATGACTACCTTGTCAAGCCAATTACGAGTGGCAGATTGAAGAGAGGCTGTGGGATTGCAGGCCTCTTTATAGGTAGCAATTAAATTGATATTCTTCCTAAAATATTGCATGATATGCTTTTGAAGTAAACAAGTTTTCACCACCCTTCTCAATGCATATTGATGTGTTGTATTCAAGCATTTTAGGCTTTAATTTCTCACCATTTAGTACACTTTCTATGACATCTTTATTTCTGCCCTTTTCTCTGTAATGTACTATGTAATTAGCAATGTTGGTAAGGTGACCCATGTATCCTTTATGCCGAGCTTGGGAATGAGTACTGCAAAGACAACAAGGGTAAGAATATTACTAAACTTAATAATTCATAAATCAAGAAAAAGAAAATCACACTCAAATTGAATCAAAAGGAAGAGAATTAACTTATGGCGGGTTGCAAGAAGGTTGAATAGCGCTATACAAAGGTTAAATAAATAAAGCCAAAATCATACAACCAAAATGTTCATACAGCCACCCCCTGGTGATTAACATGAGACAACAGAAGAAGGAAATTATAGAATAGGGACAGGGGGGGGGGGAAGGAAGTCATGTTCAACTTACATTTCTGGATCTGGATCCTCCCAAGCATCTAATATTTTTTGTAAGCACTTGCAGTCTTTGAAAAGCTTCAGGAAAAAAAATTATTATACATTATTCACACAACTCTTTCACTTGATGCCTCAATGCAGCTCAATTAACTAGCCTAACACTATCTGGTTTGATTAGAGTGGATTTCACATGGCAGGTCAAATAGGGCTTTCACCTCTCGGTGTCATTGTTCTTTTAATAATGGCACAGCTAGTTACAAACCTACCCAGGAAAAGGCACTGATCTCAACAACACACTCAATGACAGAACCTCCCCTGGCAGTGACCACAAGTGAAAATAATAAAATAAGACAATATCACTGTCACAGCACAGTACTACTATTAACAAGAAATGCCCTGTTTTTTGTTTTTTTTGCAATGTCATATGAAACCTGCAGTATTTGTTCTTGCAGTACTTACAGTGTCTACTAGAGGTGTATGTAATTCTCCATCTTCCTCTGTAGGAGGGTTGTTAAGTATTGTACTTATACATTTTTCTACTTGWGTATGCAAAAAATTATTCCATGGATACTTGAAAAATAGTTCCTAGAAGACAAAAATATTACTATTAGTCAACAATTAGAGCTGACAAGCTCAATAATTATGTGAAACTTGAATTGTACAAAATAGAATTGAATTATACTTAACTCCTTTGTTTTGTATTGTTTAATCAACACTATTTAGTAATAATTAGTAACATTTGTATGATGGTTTACGTGCATGTACTCTATCAGAATTTATTTGAATTTATTATTATTTATAAATAGTATTTATTAGTATTTCTAGCTAAAGTACAAAATTTATTCCTGGTTTTCAGTTGATGCAACATCAACCATATTGTTGGTATTTGACAAAGATATTGTTTATTTACGAKTGCCTAAGTTATATCGAACACTTAACGAATACAGCTTTTAGTTATATTATACATGTAATTGGACAGCCATTCCCCACCCTTCCTCCCCTGTTTTTCCCCTCGGGGAAGGGGCAGGGAAAGGATTTTAAGCAATATAATAAACTACAGTGATGTAAAAGCTTACCCATAAGATTCTGACAGTTCCTAGATTAGCTAGTTCTTTGTTTATAGTATCACCATTGGTTGATAATAYAGAAGACACTAGTTTAGCTATTTGTAGTCTAGCATTGCCAAGGGGTGGGTCCAGTGTTCCTATAGTTGTCTGCATCGGATTCATCTTTAGGAAAATACATCAATATTATTAATAATAATGCTGCAATATGCAGAAATTATGATCATTTCGACTCATATTCCAAGTATATACAAAATGATACATGTATATCAGAAAGTATGAGACATCATCGCCAATAGGTTTTTTAAAGTACTTTCTGGACAAAATATTGGCAATGATATCTCATAATTACTGATATATGTTTTATATACTTGAAATAGAGCAAAAAAAATCATAATTTCTGAATATTGCTGTATTGGAAATCGAATAAAGAAATGAAACATTTCTTGATATTTCTTTTTCAGCCTCAACGTCTTCATAGTCTTTGTAAAATTGGGTTTGAATGGAAGTAAATGTATAAAGACAGTACATAACAAATGAAGACATTTTTAGAACATAAACTTTAAGGTATACAATGTATCTATTCATGATAAAAAGGCCTTGTTTTTTTGTCTAACATACCAGTGGTGGATCAGTGAGAAGGTCATTGAAATCTTGAAGTCTTGGCGTCAAGGCAGCTAATGTTGCACTYACACCTGACCATTGGATCAAAATMAGTCAATAATTGTACTACAACAACAAATACTTATGCACAGCATAACTAACAGGTTCATTATATACAATACTAGTGACTGAATACAGTAGATAAATTATGTTTGCTGATGTATGTAACATGTACCTTGAGCTAGTCTTTCTGCATCCAAAGCTGTCATGAGCCCTTCTCCCCTGAAAAACAATTGACACAATCAATCAATTATTCAATCAATCAGATAATCAATCAATCGATCAATCAATCAATCATTCAATCAAACAGATAATCAATCAATCAATCATTCAATCGTTCAATCAGATAATCAATCAATTATTCAATTATTCGATCAAACAGATAATCAATAAATCAGATAATCAATCAATCAATCATTCAGAAAATCAATCAATCAATCAACTAGTAAAATCTTTACTTACGGTCCTTTCTTCACCTCCAGAAGGGTAAGAAGAACAAAGATTCCATTTACAAGAGCTGAGTCATTGTGAGAATGAATACCATGGAACATGTGATCCAGTAAACTACTTATTGTTTCTCTCCTATTAGCACAATAATAATAAAGCATTAAGTACAAAAATATAGACGCATGACAGTGATTTATTACATAACTGTAATTATTATTATTTTAAAAGAGCTTTGTGAGGATGACAACCTCATTTTGAGTAGAAAATGCTATAAACAATTCAATAGTCTTCATAAAAGAGCATCTGTATTTACATTACACATAGATTAAACTTATTCATCAAATTCTTCAATAATTCATAAGGTAAACACAATGGAAAATCATTGCAGTGACTGCATCTTTATATGAGCAAGAGATTTGCCCTAATTTGCATACGACTTTAACTTCGATTTTCTCTTAAAAATRATATTTTATCCTGAAGTTTTTGCAAAATATGATTTGGCCTATGTTGGAATTTGATAAGCAATATAAAATATTCACATCCAACCTTTATGGGCTCTAAAACTGCTTGCTTGCAGCTCACAGTTTTATATGCTAAAGGTCTCCCGCTCACATTTTATATATTAAAAAAAGAACGGTAGACTACCATTGAGCTCATGCAAAATGTCTATTTCTTCTCAAACTCACGAGCATTGACACCATTGCCATTATCAGTTTCAAAGCTATCATGAATCACTAAATGGTATCAAACATACTTTTGTATGGTGTCAAGTAAGACATCAGGACAGGCACCCTCTTGCATCTGTGACTGCAGATCTCGGCTTAGTCGGATTATATCACTTAATGCCTGTGCTGCATTGCTGTTTCTCTGATAATAAAAAAGAGGGTTTGTGAGTGTCTTCATCACAACATTACTGGACTTCTCAAGAACATTTTTACCACATAAAAAAATGATGTGGAGAAAGGTCTAGTGTAGCTGATGCACTTTTTATGAAACTTTTTTCAAGGTGACATGACTACAAATGAACTCCATGGAAACAGAAGAGAGTTTGTATACAGTGCTGTACTCACATCTTCATCGATTTCAGGATCAATTAATGCTACCAGCGCTTCTATTAACTGCTGTTCATTCAACCACTRAAATAACAAAGACTCTCTTGAACATGTACAAACAATTCATACAACATAGATACAATTGCAGAGATTGCATACACAACTTTCAAAAATGACCGTAGTTCACTATTGCTAATATTGGGGGACTAGGTAATATATTATGGAGACGAGACCTCAGGGGCCTTACATCTAAAAAACACTGCTAAAATTGCATATGTAGGCAGTGTCAAAGTTTGAATATGTTATTTATAGCAAGACTCTCTTGCAAGACATCATCAAAGCGTACTATATGGAGGATGGTCTTTGTGACCTCATTTTGGTGCTTTGTCTGTGCCATACTGCACCATTTTTGAAAGCCGTGAATGCACATGTTATTATTAGGTTATTAAGGACAATTTCACTGTTGTATAAAATGCACAAATTTTGACAATGTTCAATTAATGCCCAATCATTATTTATAACAAGGTTACCTCCAATAAATCCAATCTCAGTTGCGGTGACTCAACACTTGTAATCAGTCTTAGCAATAGGTCCATGATAGCTGATGTTCCAAGATGCTTTGAGAGCAGAGATACAAAATCTTCTTTTGTTCTTAGGTAATCTAGCATCTAAAATACAATTTATAGCAACATCAAGAGTGACTTCTAATGATAAAGAAGTATTTCACCAAAATTATTATTATTACACAAGGCATGGCAAACAACTACTTCTCTTCTAATGATAAAGTAGATTTTTTTTATTATAATACCAGGTTACAATAAGCCAATAAAGGCTGACATAAGCATCTATTGTAATTATTTTAATTCTAATTAGCTTATTTAATAGCTAATCAGTAAAATACTTACTAAAGATGTTTTTCTTGATATTAAGACTCCTAAAACCTTGCTAAAGAAACTGTGTAAAACAAATGCAATTATCAACAAACATTCTGACAGCAACCTATACAACATACAAAAACGGCCCTTCCTAAGCCTTCCTAAGCCTTAGCTTTAAACCAAGGAAAGTGATGCAGGGCTCAAAATAACAATCAGACATATGCAGGACAAGATTTCCTTCCAAATTCACTTTTGGAACGTCATGTTGAGTTTTGAAAGGACAAAAACTTTATTATACTGTTATTTTCTTTTAATTTATACACCCTTTTAATAAGTCCCGAGGTATTGTGTTYYCCGCACTTGACRTCAAATTTATTCTTTTGAATTCCTTTTGTATTGTAAAAATTTCAAAAGAATAAATTTGACGTCAAGTGCGGAGAATACAATACCTCGGGACTTATTAAAAGGGTGTATAGGTTTTTGTATCCAGAAAGATTGACAAGCATTTTAATGGATGTAAAAGATTTTTTGGGAATTGAGAATTGATTTGTCTAAAAATGTGGCAAGTAAATCTGTCCTTTCAAAATCGATTTGGCCAGCCATCTAGTGAATTTGGAAGGTCATTGTCCTTTGACCGGCCATTATTTCGAGCCCTGCGATGTGATATCATAGTGAATATGTAATACCACTACATCTGATTATCAAGTACCTTGCTAATAGTGGGTTCAATGGGGGATCAGCTTCCAAGAAAGACCACAGCTTATTGAGCAGTTCCTGTGAATATATAATGACAGTTATGACACCACTGTCTTAGGATAGGGGTATAGCATGCCAAAAATTTCTCAAGGCTCACAAGCTTGGCACTTAAAAGATAGGGGCTCAGATTTAAAATTGATTTTGGCTCAGCAGCTCGCAATCGCCAAAATATTGGACTTGTCCAGCCAAAGTCTTGGGCTAAGATTATAAAACAAGGGGCTCGCAGGATTGGCAAGACTCGGATTTTATCATTCAATACCCTTATAAGTCATAATTCTTATTGTTGGAAAAAATGAAGGATGGATTTTTTCTGACAGATTTGATCTCATTTCTAAAGTTTGGAATGGCAAAGCTAGACTAACTTTGACAATAACTGTCACACACATACATTTATGCAATATCCAGCTATTTGTGTGGTAGAAAATTATCGCAGTCGTAACTTATTAAATGGTTAATTCTGACAGAGAAAAATTTATAATCAATAATTTTACATGACCTACCTCACTGCTGGATAATTTATCAATAATTGTGTAMACATCTGATGTAAGTACTTCACATGCTGTATTAGGATGTCTAGAAAATAATTTTTAATATAATTTTTAATATTAAATGATGTGTCAACATTTTGCATTAACGCCCTTTTCCCAGCTTCAAATTATTAAATCATTCCTTACGATAAACCGAAAACCTTGCTAGAGGTGTGAAGAAGGGTTTCTTAAAAAATGTGGTCCTTTAAAAGTGTCATAGTTAAACTAGTATTAAATCCAGTTGCATTTTAGATTTTTCATATGAAAATGGAAAAGGTGACTTCAGATATCCATTAGCTCAATCTGTTTCCATCCGTCAGTTTAAGGATTCAATTTTTCAAATCTCCATTCATAGAGCATAAAGGGATAAAGAGTAAATTTTTGCTTATATTATGATGTATATTTATGAAAATAGACAAAAAAGTGGCATGCTGGTTGACCATGTCACTTCAAAAATGACTTCCCTCTTCAATTTTAGAAAAATACGATGGTAGAAGAAATTCCATATCTAGATATTATTGAGTAATAAATGATCATTTTATGACAGCTGTATTCTCTTTTCATTGATATTTAAATTTTCTACTCGATACTTACTTATATCGTAGCTTCTCATCAAAGTCTTCATCCGGTTCTGTTATTACCAGACTAACTAGTTCTTCTAATATTTCAGGTTTAATGAAGCTGTGAAAAGACAATTATATCAGATATCTTGATTTACAGTAACATGACGAGAATATCTGAAAAATTTTGGCAAACATTTTGTCTTAATAAGGAAACAGTGGCATGATATGAAAACTAAGAATTTAGGATATTAATGTTTCATTTTCATATAATTATCTATAGCAACAAATGAAACGAAAACTAAGAWTTGTTTTCATTTTAAATTAATATCAAATAGATGTAGAGTGTTACAATCATTTCATAATGTTGCTGTCCAGATGAGACTGCTGTAACCATTTTGATTCTGGTCAGCAGACATCCAAGAGCGTTTTCAATTGTTTAAACTAAAATCCCAAAATCAAATATACAGTATATATTTGACTTAGTTGAAATTTCAGTTATTAAAAAAACATGTCTCCTACAAAGGGAGGTTTTAATAATAAAAATCAATCAATAATTAATTAATCAATCAATTAATCAATAATTAATTAGAAAAAAAAGTATATCAATGTCATTCATCAGATGTCTGAGTTGTGTCTAGATATATTTTTTTTGTTTCAGGTAATTTAAGACCATGCAGGTTGYACCAGCAAACAAAAATTAACCAGTRTCAAAATACTAGAAACCACATAAATAATCAATATTGAGTGACTTTTTATTACCTGTCAAAGAATAGCCAATCTTATACCTGTTTGTAAAAGCATTTAAACTAAAACTATATTCTTTTGTTCTTTATCARCTAACACAAACAAATTGTTTTCACAGATGGAAAATCTTAAGACAAAAAAAACATTTTTCAACTATCCACTGGAATGTTCCAATATATATTATTTTGTAAACAAATTTTCAAAAAAAAAAACATTAGTGATAGAGCATTATAAAAAATTGATAATAAATATTTATTATTATCATTAATGATATAAGTCAAACACTCTAGAGTACCATTTTTTTCCACTTTATAAAAAGCAGAATTTTTTCAGGACAATCCCTTTTAGGACACAAAATGCCAATTATATTGTGTTGATCTTATTATAGATCCTTCTAAACATAGTCAAAATAATCATTTATTAACCTTCTTAGCCCTAAAGTCCCAAGTAATACCAACAGTCTATGCATGATTCATTAAAAAAAATCCTAAGAATATAAAACTTGTACATTGTACATGTACCAAGTCAGTATAAACACATTAAAAAGGATTATCTATATTGTTRTGAATCTTTATTTGGAAAATTATTCAAAAAAAAGAAAAAAAAAATCATGTACAAGGCTAATTCATGTAACAGGTTGGTATGTTCTGTATCGATTAAATCTTGCTAAAGTAGACTTACAGCCTCCAGAATAATGTCCACATGGGCCATTTCTCTGGTGGTACAAATCCACAACTTGTCAAAAGAAATAATAAAATCCTCAACAAAATTCTTTTTATATACAACAGAAGGCAACTACACCTATATAATAGCTTATTTGTTGCTGCTAGAGGGTTGATTAGGTCTATAGATAATTAGATTTCATGATGAGTGTAGGGTCATTATGATAAGATTATATGGTCAATAGCATTAAAGCTAGGAATGGCATATAAATGTATTTATAGAGGATATATATGCCCTATCTGGCATATTATGTAAGTGTATTGTTACCTCAAGGTTTAAAACTTAGTGCAAACAATATACATGTGCAATAAACTCTACAGTCAGGTACTTATTAAACATGATATCGAATAGCAATAAAAGACAGAAATTATGTAATTTAACAGTCATTTGCAAACATTTTGACTGCTATCATTTATCATAATATTGGGTGCATCACGAGTAATTTAATTTTTTACATTTCTATTGCTAACTAATATTGCAAATCTTTATTTTTTAATCATCTGATAATTATTCATATCATACTTATTATCAACCAATAATTATTCCTAACATACTCATTACCAACCAATAATTCTCCATGTCATACTCCTTACCAGCCAACAATTCTTTATATATTACTCATTACCAACCAATAATTCTTTTCATCATACATAGTCATTACCAACCAATAATTCTTAATAWCATACACATTACCAACCAATAATTATTCATATSATACATGTACTCATTACCAACCAATAAATCTTCATATTATAATCCTCAAACATTAATCCTAATATTCCATGAGCAGTTTTGATTCTACGACATTTAACCACACTGCCATGAATGCCAATAATCGTATGGCTCCTTTTTATATCATTTTATAAAGACAAATAATTTCTAAATGTATATAAAATCCAATTTAGAGCAGCTTGCAATCACAAAACATAACAAAATTCATAATTCAGCAAAATATCTTATTTTATGATGCTTGTATTATGAAATCAATGCTAATTATTAAGCATGTACGTATATTAAAAAAACTTACTAAATGATATAAATAGAAATATGCAGTGATATAACTTAATACTATTATGTAAAAAAAATAATTTTGTTGACAATTAAAGGAAAACAATTCCATTGCACAACATCTGCAACTATACTAATTTATATACCAAAAAGCAATAAGCACAAATAGAATTAACACTGATCACAGCATGAATTTTGTAAAATATAGGAATCTGTACAATATTATATTTTAAATTTAAAACAAATACTCACAAATTTATCAATTTTCTGTTTTGTGACTTTGTCTCTTGAAGTACATCATCTTCCTCGAGTATTTCGATCAATGTACAGTCCTAAATAGAACAAAAAAGATAAGCAATAAAAACTATATATGATTACTTCAAACAGCAATCTTAATTTTATAGAAGATAGCCATTTGATAGAACTACAAATTATTACTAACCTCTTTGCTCAAAATGGAATCGATTGCAGTAGAGGGGTGCAACTCAAATTTCCAAAACATCTCGCCTTTTTTGTGTTATTGTGTAAGCTTAATTGATTAGTTATCAATATACCGCATAAGCCAAAGCTTTTATAGCCTTTTGAAGTTCTAGGAAGCGATGTTTAGGTCCATAAACCCAAGTAAATTTGCTATCTTTACGTTGCAGGAWTTTTTTTTAAGACGGTACGAGTGCGAGTTGTAGAAAGGAACTTTGGTCATTCAACTACAGTTAATAGCTGCATGAAGAAAGAGCATTCCTATCATTGAGAATTATTATCCATTGTTTCTTCTTTACCAGGTTAAGCTTTCAATGTTTTGCAATGCTTGTCAGGACCATAAAATAAACTACACAATTTCCTCTTCAAGGAGAGATAAGTTGAGCTATCACCACATGTACAGCCCTCAAACTCGGCCGTTTTTAGTCCGGCTGATGAGAAATTTTGCCAACATAGAGTCCAATAATATGTTGTTGGAATAARACGCTAAAGATTGGCTTTCTAAGATGCCTATCCGAGATTTCCTGAAAGCGGGAAACAAGTTAAATCCTCTGCTATGGCGCAAGAAACGAACTGAGACAATATGGAAATTAGCTCTGATAAACCATAATACTCTTCGCGCCGTTCTACTCACGTGATCTCACTCGGGMGAGGAGACTGGTACAAGKGACTAAAMGCATTGCATTATGGGGCAAAAAGATCCACAGGAAGACCAACAGTTCAAAAAGGGACATTGGAATGTGGTTTGGACTATTGAAAGAGAGAATGGGAATGAAAGAAAGATAAAACCGATAGAAAGATGGAGAGGCAGTTGTAGCATTTAAAAATGTATCTGAGTGAACCAGAGCAAAAACAAAAATAGAGAAATGGTAAAGTATAGAAAGGAAGGAAGAAACCGAGTGAGAAAATAGAAAAAAAGAATAAAATAGATAAGGGTATTGTACGGCTTGTTCCCGTAAAGAGGGAATATAAAGGGAAATTAGAAAATTAATCTACTAATCAATCTTTCATGCTTTTACAATTGTTGAGCTACGGTCTCCAAAGCAACGCCAAAACAAAATAAACAATAGCTTCACACTTGACGTGTCACGCTGCGCATTTGAATTGTAGATATCCGTGTACGTACGTACCTGCATCGACCGCTGCCATCAAAGTTTTTATATGCGTTACAAGACTATCTATAAAATTGCATAGTGCTTACACTCATAATTATTTAATGGATGTTTGTAATCGGTACTCAGCTTGACATATTACGGAAATCCGATGGATAAGACTATTGGACTGAATACTACAGAGTTCAAATGAGTTTTCATAATGAGAGGTAAGGTGACTAAGTGTCTTAATGAAGTTTGTGAGTTTCTACATCTGATAAATCACGTCCCYGTAGGTAAAGTGTGGAAAACAATAATTAACCAAAGATTTTGACATGAGAAGAGATGCGATCACTGCTGGTATCTAGGAGACCCCAAATCTTACTGTCATCACTATCTAAAGTTGTTATACACTTCTGGTAGACTTTTAGTGGAGTCACATCAATAGCTCAATGACAACAAGCTCGATTTATGGCGAAAGTTGGAGCTATTGATTTCCTAACTCCTCAAAAAAGCACCAAAAATGGCCTCAGCTACCGTAAAAAGTCGCCAGATTTTCAAGAACAGAAGAAAATCGAGATTTTTATCAAATGTACTGATTTGGTTCAAATGGATAAGTTTTCGTACAGTGACCCCCTCTGCGTGCTCCATGTCAAGAAACTYGGTCATTGGACGGAATATGGAAGGACGGAATCTCTGCCAAATAACTTAAATCCCAAGGTATTTGGAAATCATGTGGAGAGTACTATACTTAAAAAAAGTATTCAAATATCTGCTAAAAAAAATGAGGTCCTTTTATATGCGCACTAGTACAGCTGAGAGTACAAACACAATGATTTTGTCTCAACACTGTACTCTTGTTTGCATTTAGGGGGGAAAGTAYGATTTTGATTAAAAATGGATGTTTTGCACGCTTATTTTGAAAACACAGCTGAATATTGAAGATACGTCACAGTTTTGCATGGTGTAAAGGCGTAAATTYGCTTTTAATGTTGATGAAAATTAATAAGGGCTTTATATTTTTCGTAGTGGCGAAAAATTTAAAACGCTTTGAAAATGTTGGCGTTTTGAGTCAGAAGCTCAATCTTATTGCTATAAATAAAAAGAAAGCCGAATGGCATTACATGAATGGCGCACACATACAGTGACTCCTCTTCATAATGTCAAATTTCATTGACAACTTAAACAGAGTACACTCTAAGCTTTTGTGAACTAGAAAAGCTCTTCATGAGTCAACGAAGTACTTGCGCATGATCCACAAAAGTTGCAATTGTATAAATTGAACTTCAATCTTCTAGCGTATTAAACCTTTCGGCAATATCTGAAGGATTTGATATATTGAACAATAATATTAAAGAAAATAGATTTAATTTCAAAAAACGATCTGCATGAATCTGTAGTAAACTTGTAAAATCAAAATAAAATTTTAGTTAAAAAGAAGAAAAAAGCTATGACGACGGAAAACGTTTAATGGCAAACATCAGACATTTTAACTTTTGTCCATGGAAAGTGTCATTAAAAGATTCTTTGGAACTATTATAAGCTCTTTAGAACCAAATCACGAAGTTYCAGTTTTAAAGTTTTTTKKTWWTACGTTATTATTAGCTACAAATATAACATGATAAAATCCACTCTGGATTTAAAAGCGCAGAACGAKTATAATGTAATGTATGCGCAACAGAATGTAAAAATGTGGCTCCCTTTTGTCTTTTATTTCTTTTCCTTCAGCAACCTTTTTCAGAGTTTCTCTTCAACTATGTTCAAGATAGGAACTAATATAGTCGAATAATATGACGGAAAGTCTTTGCAACACATATAAACAGTTTTCTTGCGTCAACATCATAATTCCACCTTTTTAGAGTATGTTTGRCAAAGGATTAGCTTCKCTGAAATGCGTTTTGAGTTTTTATTTTCATTTTCTAAAGCTGAATAATTAAAAAGCCTTCGMAGAGGAGAATTATTATGCCTAAGTCAAACTGTTTGATAACAAATCAAAATGTTTTTATATCAACAAAGCGGAAACTATTTTTGGTGTAAATGTAAAAAATCGGTCATTCTACTGGAGTGAAAGCACKTTTATTTCAAATTTCAGCTTTGTTTACATTTTGAAACATTTGAAACGATTTGAAAGGATTTATTACCGTCTGTAGACTATAAACCCCAATATGCATAATGAGAAGCTATTAATCAGGGTAAGGTCAGTCATAGAACTCCCACACACTGAGAATTAATGAAAATTTCCCAGGCCGACAAAATGGTCGCCRMGGAATTTTCACGTTATGCTCGGAATCCAATCTTTCTTTGCGCACTTTTACACCAAACTGCAAAAGAGTAATAAATAAAAATAGACAGAACAATACGACGAGAACCGTTTTTAAAACGAGAGTAAATATWAGTACACAGAATCAATCAGTTAACTGATTTTTGCGACACTTCTTCTTAAAACCATTGCCACACTCTAGTAAGGTGTGGCAGGTCCTCGCACAAATTAAGAATGGTAATTGTAGGATGCTCAGAATATGTTCTGGACATGTAAATAGATGGGTTGATATAAACGTAATAATCGTTTCATTCGGGARCGAGTATGTAATGACTATAATTTTTGCTTTTTCCATAATTTTCCAAGTTATATTGTTAATCACCATTGACTTTCTTACATTTTCAGTTTGTGGAATCCTTCATAATCGATAGCTGTTCGGTACAATATCCACGCCTTCGTTTCTCTCTCTACGACCTGGCGAACTTCACTTCGAAAGATCTTCGGAAACACGACTTCATTGGTTCTGTAGAAATCGACTTTGAGACCCTTCTGACGTCAGAATCGCCACTCGTTCGGACGTTACGAATACCCGGCGATATTAAGACTCGTGGTTTCATTAATATATTCTACGAAGATGTGACAGCAAACAAGACAAATTTACGACTGCAAATGAGAGGAGTTGGACTCGAGAAAAAAGGATTTTTAAGYAAATGTGATGCGTTTTTTGAGGTTGAACGACTATTGTCAAGCGGACATTTTCATCCTGTATATCGGTCAGAAATCGTCACGAGAACACTCGATCCTAAGTAAGTTAAGATATTCATCAAATATAATAGTCCTTTATAAGCTACAATAGATGAYACAAGCTGAAGTGCGCATGCTCTATGCTCTCATATTGCACGCTTATTGACCAATAAGTGGACGASTTTTATGAGCTATTTTGTAAAACCCATGTGATGAAAAAAAATTAACATTTTGACGCAGATGGGCACCATTGGAGTTGTATTTACAAAAGCTATGCAATGAAGACGTCACCAAGGAAGCACGCATCACGTGCTGGCATTTTTCAAATAGTGGTTCTCATACGATGATTGGTCAATGCACATTTGTCGTTGATGACATCATTAAAAGGTATTTTCATAGTGATAGTTGAGCGGAGACAGAAATGAAAAAGATAGTCACTTACGTGCATGCGAAACGGAGAATGGAGCGTAAAAAGTGAAAACCTTCCGTTCTCCTTCGCCCTTCGGCATTTGAGCATTGTACAATGTATTGTACAATGATATGGTGGACTAGTGCAATGGCCTTGTCATATTTCAGTGCCAAAACACGCCTCTCTACTTACCCCTCAGCATTTATGAATGTATTCTATTTTATGCCACAGAAAGACACGACTTTTGAGCCTCGTGAAGCCACAAAAACCAGGCAAAAAGCGCACGTCAAGTCCAGGATCAATCCAAATTCTCCATTGTCAAGCAGATCGTCACTTCAGTCTGCTCGATTATATACGCGGTGGTTGTAARATAAGAATYGCTTGCGCTATTGACTTWACGTTATCAAATGGAGACCCTTCGTTGCCGAACTCTTTACACTGCACAGTACCGGAAAATGTAAGTAATTTTAGTGAAAGATTAATCATAGGCCCCAATTACTTGTTTCAAATATATTAAAAAGGGAAATAAACTGAAGAATTTGATATTGCAAAGAAGTGTACTCCAAGGAGGTTAATGTTGCGCGATATCCATCATGCGATAATTGTTTTTATTGTGAGAACAACTTGCACAGGACTGTAAATAGAATGTCCTTAGCAGACATGTTAGCAGATCAGTTCTCTCCCGCTCTGCTATAGATGTCTGATATCTATTTCCGTAAACTGACAATCATATACCTAGACAATGCAGTATCGCCATTTTTACCACACTTGTGTAAATTCTAGCGCGCTTATTGGCTGATTAGAGTGTGTCAATTCTATAAGAGGACATGCACAATGTGCTGAAACCATCACGTCTCGCGCGCGCTCTCAATTGAAAGAAAAGAATGATTTTCGCTAATTTTTAGACTAAAAATGTGGTAAAAAACAAATTGCAAATCACAAATCGCTGCGCTCGTGGGTCCAATTGAGTTGTGAACATTTTATGACATCAAGAGTGTGTCAATAAGAGGACATACAACTCAAAACCATGCGCAATTTGTGAAATTGACACGAATTATCTTTTGTGTTCCAGAACGAATATATCCACACCATCGAGGCACTGGTCCCAATCGTCACTCACTACGACTCCGAAAAAAAGATCCCCTTCTTTGGTTTTGGAGCCAAAAATATACCCGGTCCATACTGCTTTGCGGTAAATAAAGACGAAAGTGCACCTGACGTTGATGGAGTCGAGGTATGATTGGATTATGACTTGTTGACGTCAGTGATACATTAAGAGCGAAAGGGAACACGGGAAATGAAATTGAAAAACAATAACATCAATATCGTGATTGACATGAAATGTGACGTCATTGCTAACACAGGAATCCCATCCTATGCGTTTATGTAATCGCTATTTTTTATGTATCTTTCAGTCACTTATCGAGACCTATTTAGAACTCCTTTCGACAATAAAACTTGGCGGACCAACTTATCTTGCGCCCGTAATCCAACGGATAGCGGAGTATGCTGGAAAGGAAATATCCCAAGATTCTCAATATTATATGGTTGCCTTGGTAATCATGGATGGAGTGGCTAATGATGTTGACCTGACCATCGCAAAACTTGTAGAACTTGGTGCTTTACCACTGTCAATCATTATTGCAGGCGTCGGACCAGCTGACTTTAGTGGTATGGTAGGTGATTTTATTCCTAAAAATTTGTTTGGATTTAAGGTTTTTCTAAGCTTTCAGTTATGTAAAAGAATTAAGGCGGAGCTCAAGCAAAGGCTATTGAATGATTGGCTGTATTATACATCATTGGAATTAAAATAATTGGGCACTCATTAAACAAAAAACATCATTTCTTAATTTTTCAAAACAGGAGGAATTGTTCAATTCAAGGCGGAAGCCCTTAAGGGCACGTGACGGGAAAGAACTCCAACGAGAAACAACGTATTTCATTGAACTGAAAAAACACAATCGAAGCCGAAATATGTCAGCGGTAAGTTGCAACGTTCCTCTATGTTTCCCCTCCCCAACCTATCAGATGGGTAGACTAACTGGACTAGATTGATGTCCTTACATTAATAGATGCAACACGCCAAAGATAACTCTGCTGTCCCTTTTAAACACATTTATGAATGACCAATGACCAATCACATACCAGCAAAAGTTGGTGACAAAATGCACATAAGATTTAATTGTTTTGTCATATCTTTCAGGCTCGAGAGGCACTGGCACATATATCAAGGCAAATAGTGGCATTTTTCAAATCCAAAAATATAGAACCCAATCCACCACAAAAATCTATTACAGAGGTAGCATGGGGCGAGWTGAGTGGTATGAATGGTTTGGGGAATAGTTCCCAATCCAGGCCATCCTCACCACTGACTAGAAAAAGAACTCCAGCTTTAAATCCAAGATGCCCCACTTGTGGGTCTTTATTACAAAATAATAACACAATGCAGATATAGCAATATATATATTATATTTATAATACAAATTTTATTTACCGGTACTGTAATAGGAACAAAAGGTTTGAACCCGAGATAAATCTCTTGGGTTGCCTGTGGTGCAATACAAACTTATATATACACAATATAATTGGCACCAGTCTCTTTTCATTAAATATTATCGCAGGAAGCCCACGATTTATATTTATCCAGTCTGATACAAAGTTTGCAATTAAACAGTTTCATTATGATGGTGATATATTTCTAAAAGTCAGATTAATCCTGGGGTCTCTATGATGGTATTCTTTAGGGACACGATGCTTTAAAGAAAGAAATAAAATTTATTATGAGTATTTTCCTTCTGGTAGAAACCTTGGTGTCTGGTACACATTATTCATCACTATCATTTGGTTAGTTCCTCAACCAGAACAACATTTACAACAAAAAAAATATATATATTCTTTGTACAAATACACATTATAAGAATATAGCATTATCCCCCCCAAAAAAAATAATAGACCAATATCTTAAAAACCAGACCATTGTAAAACTTGTGGCAATAGCCCTGATAACTAAATGCTAACCTGCCAGTCATCTTGTGTTGACCCTTTCATTATTAACAGACTTCCACTTGCTAATGGAATCTTGACATGGGGCATTAAAGAGAAATCATTTCCCTTGAACAAAAAATAAAAATATTGATGATATAAAATAGTTTGAAGATGGAAACATTGGAAGAACAAACCTGTGTTGGCTTTTTTCGTAACTCAAAATTTCTTGTATCACCGAGAGATAAGGACGCTATCACTGGTTGATTTCCAAGTGATGGCTCATCATCWGAATGCCAGTCCTGATAATRAAATGAAAGTATTAAATAAGGKATTCCTTTGTCATTTGTAATCGGAGGTAGACTGGGAACTAGCTTCATACACTCACTGTAAATTCWAACATCAATGAAATGTCTATTTATATTGTTGTTTTTCTTCATTTGATGCCAAATGTAACCATTTCTACCAAGTAGTTAACACTGTGTTTTCTCATTACTGTTAGATCATTGAGATGTCCCTAGAGTTACATAGAATAAACAACATCCAACTCACCACACTGTCCTTGTCATCTCTGTATAAGTTGGCTAACATTGAGTTGAATGTCAACCCTGTCTGTGTGAAG